GGCCACAATAACCACGTTTCATCGGCTCAGACCCATCTCAGCCTGGACCAGGACCCCAGGCAGCTGAACTGACCCTGGATTGCATTATAAGTGCACCTCAGGCGCTGTGGGGCCGCAGCTGAGCAGGATTCCCAGGGCTGGACTTAGTATTGACTCTCCTTAAACATTTTACCTCCCAGTAAAACAACGAGACTTCCCCTCGCTGTCAGGGCTCCTGGGGTGAAACCATCCCACTGCCCTGCACACCCCGTCCCGTGAAGTCGCATGCTACCCAAGCACATGGCTCCTCTCTCCCCGGTTGGATCCCGGGGACACACATGCAAAGCCCAGATACCTCCTTCCCCACGCACACTTCCAGATGTGCCCATCGCCCCGCGTCGGGCCGGGCTCCGCGGCGTGCACCATCTTCCCCAGCCCCACCTCACCAGGGCCGGGGGCTGCAGCAGGGGCTGTTTTCATGCTCCTTACCTGTGGGGTGTCCTCCGCCGAGGCCGGTGCTGTCGGTGCTTGCCCACGGCAGGATCGCATCGAGAGAGGTGCCAGCGCCACGTGAGTCATCCCTGGGCTCCTGAGCGAGGAGGAGATTCCCAAGGCGGGAGGGATGAGGCTCAGGGCAGATCCCCACATGTCCCATAGGCTGTCAGAACCCCAGAGGCGAAGGGCTGCTCTGCAGCACGCAGGGTCCAATCCTGCTGCCGGGCAGGGACATCGGCTGCCCCGCTGCGGGAAGGTGGGTGCTCAGAGGCTGCAGGGGTGCCCTGCACTGCCGGAGGTCCCCCAGCCCTTCCCTGCACCCACCTTCCCTTGCTCAGACTTGCAGGGATGGTGTGGCCAAAGCCTCGGGAGCCCCTGCTCGGGGCACTGGGAGCCGCTCAGCCACACACCTCCCTTTATAATCCCATTTTACACAGACTTTGCACCACGGCAACGACTTACAAAGAGCCTTTATCCCTCCCCACCTCCTGACGAGTGGGTGGCAGTTTCCCTGGGAATTCATCCATCGCTTTTCCTCTGCTCCCCTCACCTGCAAGCTGGGGCAAGTCTCTTCCCCATCACTCCACCCCTGCCGCTGGAGCCCAGGAGCCATCGCAAGCTGAGCCCCCAGCTCAGAGAACCCCGTCTTTGAGGCCCGACCCCCAGCTCACGGCTCTGGGGTGCAGCGCGGAGCAGGGTCCAAGGAGCGGGTGCTGCAAGAGCTCAGGGACAGCAGGAGCCATCTGAGGAGCAAACACACGCTTCATCTGCAGTTCTGCTGGGTTTGAAAACAAAAGTGATGTAGAGAAACAAATCTAAACAGCTGTAAAGTAAATTACCACTGTTTGCGGATGGCTCCAGGGGAGAGTTCTGCAGTTTGAAATCAAACAAGCCTGGCTTTAGTTATTTATTATAACATGCCCATGCAGTGGCTGTGCCAAGGGCTGTGTCCCACCACGGGCAGGCTGGGGGGCATGCAGCAGCACCCAGCGCTGGGTGGGGGATGTTCTGGCTTGTGGGTATCCAAAGGGGGTCTTGTGGCTTGTTGCTTTCTGGGTTAAAATCTCCTCTTTCGGGGAGCTGCCGGATGTGATGAGCAGAGTCTGCTGGTGCTGGGCTGCAGATAGAGCACCCCTCCACCCCTCCACTGCCCTCCTGGGAGTGTGGGCACAGCCACCAGCACCCCCTGGTCCCCCTGCCCTGCTCTGATGCAGGCCAAGGAGGTGAGTGGCTGCACAGCTTTCCTCCGTGTCCCGCTGGTCCAGCTGAGCCGATGTGGAGATCAACACCCATCTACTGGGCAAATACCTGGTGGAGGCACAAACCAAATCAACAGGGAGGGAAAGACAACGGGTGAGGAGGAAGAAGAGGCAGGAGCTGCTCTGGTGCAGACAGGGCTGACACCAGCCAGTGAGAGCCCAACAGGAGCAGCTCGTGGAGCATCCTCTGCCCTTGGGCTGGTGGGCACTGATCTCCCGTGGCAAAAGCTGCCATCCCACCATTACACTGGTTGGGGATTTCAATTTTCCAGCGGCAAAAGAGGGGTGCTGAAGGCTGCACCCTCCACCAGGCAAACCCAGCCAGCCCATGCGAGTCCACGGCGCTGGGGACATGGAGGTGTATTAATGGCAGCACTTTATCTTCCAGGAACAAGCCCCATTAGTACATTTTCACTACAACATGAAATATTAATAACGCTTTGCATTTATATAGCGTCATTCATCCAGGAGTCACCAGCCAAGCTCCTGACATGAATCAAACACCACAGCCAGCTCCGGAGGAGGCAGGTAAATAGGATTTCCTGCAGCACACTTTGAGGCACAGGGTTTCCTCAATGCCCGTCACGGGGGAGACCACCAGCACTCTTCTGCCCATTGCCAGAGGATGCCACCGCTCTGAAGCCATGAGGACACCTGCCCTGGTGGGGCATCTCCATCCGGCCCACGCGCTCTGCTGGGTTTTGCTATCATCAGGCAGAAGTTGCTGTAGAAACGCAAAATATTTCCTTGGGTCACTGACACGTTGCTTTTCCCTTGAAGGTTTTGGAATGGCAAGAAAAGTTGGTTAACTTTGTAAAATAACAGTAAAAACAACAATAATGATAATAATAAGAATAGCTTTTTTGTCCTTTTGGTCCCTTCCTTGACAGACTTTGCAGATGTGAAGCACAGCAAACCTTGTGGCTCCTGCAGGTTTAAAACCAGGAAACATGGTTTGCATTTGTGCTGTGAAGAGTGAGGAAGTTTTGGGCCCAAACACACGTGGCCAGGAGCAGCACAAGCCAGCGCCACGTTACTGGTACTGTGCTGATGGTGCAGGGAGGGGAGAAGCTCAGTGGGGTTTGGAAACTTGTGAGGCCACAGCCAGATGAGCCCTGACACAACCCGAGCGCTGCTGCGGCATAAAAGAGCAGGCAGAAAAGCAGTGGGGAAAGGGCTATTTTCATCTTATTAAAGAGCCTTATATTTAAATCCTCCTTCAGAAGTGTAGCACAAGATGATTGCAAAGGCTTTTATACACTAACTCAGCAGGAGTCGCTTCTGCTGCCGGTGATGTTGCATGTAGATGCTGGTTAGCAGGGTGGAATCCCATTATTGATGCTGAATAAACAGAGAAAAACAGGTCCTGTGTGAAGTTAAGAGAGCGGGTGGTGAGCAGGGGAGCGCTGCACAGACCAGCTGCCCCGGCTCCCCGTGCCCAGCACTATTATTATTCAAAGAAGGTGGCATCTTGTTTGCAGATAATTAAAAATGCCCAAAGAGATTAGTGAAAACTGAACACAAGAGGCTGGATGATGGCTCAACTGTTGCAGCAGAACCATGCCTGTGTCAGCCCCTTCCATCCACCAGCCCATGGCTCCCCGCTGCTGTCCCCTGCACCCCCCATTCCAGGGCTTTTATAGGGGCATTCACCACCTCCCCAAGCTGCCAATGCTGTGGGAGACTTACAGAGACCCCCAGGATTTCCTAGAGGGGCTCCCGCAGCTTTTTAGCCTCCACCTCTTAGAGGGGGTGCCAGCAAAGGGCAGTAAAAGGCCCTGCAGATGCTCAGGGACGTGCACCACGGGCCTGACCTTGCATGTCCAGCGCCCATGGGAAGAGCCAGGGCAGCCCCAGCACCTCAGCCAGGGGCTCAGCATGAAGGGAGAGGGGGAACAAGGGCTGCACACCCTGTTTTTAACAGGTCCCACAGGGCCCTGGGAGGTTCCCACCCAAAGCACTTGACCCAGCGCTGCTGGGGAAGGAGGGAGGCTGCAATTACAGGAGGGTGGTGAGAAAGAGGAGCTGCTGATGGGGCTGACAGCAACGAAACCGCCCTGGCACAGCAGCAGCCGAGGGCAGAGTGCTAATGATGGGGTCTGCTGGCAAAGGCATCTGCATCCAGCATCACTGAGCAGATGCTGTGGTTTAGCTGCAGCTGGACCTGTGGGTACTGTGGGGCAAGGGGAGCTGCAGCCCAGAGCACCAACGTGCCGTACCCACTGCACTCACCAGCACAGTGATGCTGGAAGGACCTTCTGCTGCTTCATGTCAGCACCAACCCCAAGCTGCTGTAAGAACCACTGATATTAATGCTTCCCCTGGCACAGGTTTCCTTCACGTGGCCCGGATAGTGGTTTGCAGATATTCTGGATCTGTTTAGACGCTCTCCTGTGGCAAACTTGTACTCAAGGACTGTCTGGATGAAATCAGGCAAACCCTCCACAGCCCAGCCTGGTAATGACCATGTAACATGGCCAGCACCCGTTAATCGGCTCACATTTAAGAGTGAGACTGAACGGAGTAACCTCGTTTCTAGGGAGGGCTTAATTAATCATAGAATCAAACTGACTTGATAAATTCAT